AAATTACTACACTAGGACTCCATTTTATCTAGTGTTTAATAGAGAGGTGGACCAGGTCCTCAAGATCCCTTTCAAGACTAACATTACACAACTTCATAAGATGCCACCTTCCTTAGTGCCCAGTTACCTCCTGCCTTCTATAACAACCGATTCAGCAAAAAAAGAAGCTCAACTCAAGTATAAGCAACTGGTGCCTTAATGGGGATGACAAAGAACTAAAGTTCTAAGTCCCAACCTCTGAGCAACAGATTGCCTCAGAGTTACTGAAAATGGGTCCTTATCTAGTCGTGTACTGTCAGCAGATAGAGCTCTAGGCCTGAAGTCAGGAAGACTCATGTTCTTGAGTTCCACTCTGGCCGTGGACAATTTTGAGCTGTGTGACCCTGGGAAAGTCACTGAACCCTGTTTGCCTCAGTTTCCTCATCTGTAAAATGAGCTGGAGAAGGAAATGGCAAACCACTCCAGTATCTTAGCCAAGAAAACCCCAAATGGGGTCATGAAGAGTTGGACAGGACTAAAATGACTGAATAACAACACTATCTCAAAGGCTATTAATAATAATGCAACTCCTACCACATGGTTAGTCTGTGAAATGTTTTGACATTAAAAAACAGTCAGAAGGTCATCCAGGGAAAAGGAATCTGAAGATTATTTTCCTTTTGAAAGTTTGGAAACTTATGCCCAAGATAAAAGAACGGAGTTTCTTTTGTAGAATTCAAGGGATAGGGATAGAAAAGGGGATTGTACCCCTTTATGTGAAAATGCTCACCATTTTCTGTCCTTAACCATGTCTGCACAAACACAGCCTAGATTCTATAGATTTAGTTCCAGCTGGTCTTTGTCTTTAAAAAAATTGGAGAGGGGAAATATGTAATTAAAATAAGTAGGGGGGAAGGACAAGGATTTGTAATGGTGGTACCTATACAAAATATGACTAAAGTGATTGATTACATTTGACAGTAGCTGATGGAAAGAGGTGCCTAACACTTCTTTCACCTTGTACATAATTCTCATTTACCAAGTTTAGTGTCTTTAGGTTTTGCCCACTCAGAGTTTCCTCCTACAGATTTTTTTCCCTTTGCATTTAATGACCTGAGAAAAGCTGCCTCAAGATTCTGGCAGGTAAAAACAAGAAAGGCAAAACCAGAAAGGTGATTTTTTTAGTGCCCAGAACTTTTCCTTATGTAATCATCTATCACCAGGGCATGATTTTCAAACTTCAAAATTTCACTGAATGTAACGGAAACAAAAACCTCAGTTAACTGTTCCATGTATTAAGGAGATCTTCATCTCCTAATTCATCTAGAACTTTTCCATTCTGTTGAGAAATATGTATATATGAGAGTCAGCCTGACTTAATCAAGTGTTGGGTTTACCAAGACTTGAGTTCAAATTCTGCCTCTAAGAAGAGTTAATGGCCCAGCGAAAGCATATCACTTAACCTTTCTGTGCCTCTGGCAACTCCCTAGGACTTATTTACTAAGATCTGCCAGGGCTGAGACAGCCCCAGCACCTGGAGCTCACCAAGCTAACCAAATCACAGCCCCTTCCTGTATTTGCATATATGCATCATCCTATAATGTTGATGAGTAAAATGGAAAATCATTTCTTCCCAGCAGCAATAGGCTGTAACATTCTCAGGAAACCACTGATTTGGATTCTCATCTTATAGGAAGGAGGCTATATTGGCAAATTAAAATATCTAGAGATACGATCTATTTCTTTTGCTGTTTTCAAAATAGAAATTCTGATTGTTATTTGCTAACTGAAAGTGTGTTATGGGAGCCAGTCATTTGATCCAGCACACGGCCCAACACAGGCTGGCCCTCTGTAAGAACCTTCCATAGTCAGCCCTCACAGGGTAAGAGGAGTAAAGTGGAAAGAGCCCTGAATTTGGAATCACAGCACTTGGGTTCATGTTCCAGTACTGGCATTCACTAGCAGTATGATTTGGGGTAAGGCCCTTTATTCACCTCCTTGGACCTACATTTCTACATCTGTAAAAGTAAAGGGGTTATAAGTGCTGTATTTGGAATCAGAGGACCCAGGTTCAAATCCTGGGTCTGCCATTTACCATTCATTGACCTTGGGGATGTTAAACTCTTTGGGCCTCAGTTTCCTTATCTATAAAATGAGTGGGTTGAATTAGATAACCTCTAAGGTTCTCTTTAGCCCTAAATCTGTGACACTATGGATGGATGGTACTATTCAGCCTCAGGATTCTACTTTAGTTTAAGGTTTGCAGTCCTTAAGTGGGACAAAACTGGCAAGTGGGACAAAACTCCTTTGATGAAATTATTACAAGCTACAGGCAGGGCAATGAGTCAATCTCTATTGGAGAGGAGGGGGAGGGACTTGGACTAGTCCTGTCTTCTGCCAAGGGCTCCTGGGACCCTGTGTTCCTTTAGAGAGTAAACATGTGAGCTGAGCCATCAATGGGGCATGATTGCTGCTGTTGCTAGACACAGGGATGGTGGACCCTTATATCTGAGCAGTGCCAGGGTCTTGGGGAATCTCAATAATGTCTTTTATAATCTTTTTATTTCATGTAGTCAGTGTAAACTATAACATGACTGTGTTTCCTTGGGAGTCCTATGAAAGAGGGAAATTGATAAGAATCTTAATGGGAAATGAGAGGAGCAAATGCCTAAGTAGGGTTGGAGATTTTCCTGGAGTAAATCTCCACTTGGGTCAAAATTCACAAGCCAAAATTGTGACAATTTATTAAATATCATATGGAAATGATCCTTTTATATTTTAAAACCCTGCCCCAATTCTAGAAGAATCTGGGCCAAATGGGGAGGGAGTGGGGAGAAAGAAGAGGCATTGCCTGTATAACTACTTCCTAAATAATCAACAGACTGTTTAGGAATCCCTCCTTTACTGTGAAAAGTACCTACCACCCATCCTTCCAACCTCAGGTGAGGTAAACTCTCTACTCTCCCTGTTTTCTCACATGGGGTTCAAAACTCTCACCTCAGGTGTAGTTATTAAAAAAGAAGAAAGCATAGAGTCTGAATTGTTAAAGGCCAAGGAAGAGGCCGAAAGAATGGAGGAGAGAAATCAGGTTAAATATTATCATAGGAGGGGCAGCTAAATGGCACAATGGATAGAGCTCGGGCCTTGGAGTTAGTAGGACCCAAGTTCAAATCCGACCTCAGACACTTGACACTTACCAGCTGTGTGACCCTGGGCAAGTCACTTAACTCCTATTGCCTCACCCCCCCCCAAAAAATCACTACAGGGTTTGAGGAGGGAAAAAAGAGGATGGTGGAGAGGAGCTGTAGTGGAGGATGGAGGAATCTGGAATGGCTTGGCTTCATCCTACACTTCCCCTCCCACTTCCCCTAAGTACCCTTCACTGCTATTAGAGTGAATTCCTCTCTGGCTCAGCTTGGAGCAGAAGCATAGGGATAGGAGTAAAGAGGCTGAATCAAAGTGAATGGAAGTCTTCGGAGCACTGTGCTACTCCCACTCCACCAAAGCCAGAGCTCACCCCAAACACAGCCCACCACTCCACCACCAGCAGCACCCTTCCCCAAACCAAAATTCACTGCCTGCTGCCCCATTCTCAAAGCGATATCACTCTGTATAAAGGAGTTCATGACAATAGGTAATAACAGGTTAATGAGATCAGTCTTTCAGGTAGCTGTAATCAAGTGGAGCTTTCTTCAAATAAGGAATCAACAGAAGGGGGGATTCTAATTATCAATATTTGAAGAGAATGGGAACTTAGAAGACAATCTGGGTGCAGACACTTTTCCAGCCCTGCGCCAATCATATCAGGCCACATCAATTTTCCTTCTTTGCCTATTGCCTGCCCATAAGCTACTAGAGCCCTGTGAGCTTAACTCCACCACAGAAACGGAATGCGTTGTAGAGCCTCATCAATATTGCTTATTTGGCCTCAGTCTACCCTTTACTCAGCACATCCCATATGCAAGCTCAGTCCCTGGGGCAGGACCAGTGCCCTTCCCACTCGAGCCTATCATAAGGCTGTCGTCCCGAGTTCTTCGCCTACACCTCTCAGGTCCAACCTACTTTCATTCTTTGACCCTCTCCAACAATGACCGCGTTTTAAAATGCTTTCGTAAGTGAGCAATTGAGGACTTGGGCAATCAGTGGGAGGCTAAGTCCTCCTCTCAACTTAGCAGGTAAGTTACATTCATTATAGAGGGGAAAGGGAAAGGAGTTAAGGGAGAATCCCACCCGTCTAAAACCAGGAATAATGAAGCCGGCACATCCAGCCATCCAACCTTTACTGTCACAGGGACTTGGAGAGATGATCTAATCCTTTCCTCAGCATCCTATTCACCTCATCAAACCCATCTCACCCCCAAAAGAGCCTGGGCCATTGTTCAATATCTTCAGAGAAAGTTCCTCCCTCTGTAAAAAACAAAAATTCCTTCCCTGACACATAACCCAAATCCCCAACTTCCCTAGAGTGTGGCTGAACCTCGCTCCCGGCAGTAATCAAGCACACATTCCAGACGGAGAGCTGGTCTGGTTCCACCCCGAGCCAAGATCAGAAACACAGAAAAAGGAGGGCTTTGCGAATCCCCCTGGCTACTGTGAGCTTAGTAGACAAAACAAGGGAGGGGAGAAGAAAAGGCCCCAGAGCTTTCACACACTCCTTCCTCCGCCAATTTCCAACCTCCAGTTCGGGGAAAGTGGGAGTTCTAGCTGCTGTTCAGCTGGGAAAGAGGGGGCCACAGATACCTGCTGGCAGTTCAACAGCAGGTACTGCGGCTGCTGGGAGGCAGCTGTCCCTGAGGCTGGGGAAGGCTGACGGGGGGCAACAGCTGCTGCCATTGAGAGGAACTGGGGAGCAGCTTTGGCTCCGGTGGGGAGGAGCAAGGCTGCAGCGCTCCCAAAGCAGGGCACGGAACAACGAGGCGAGAAACGAGACAGCCCAGCTTGGGGTGGGCTGCTCGGGGGGAGAGAGGGGAGTGAGCATCAGGCGTAGCCTCATGGGCGTGCACGGGTAGGGAGAGAGGTACCTCTGCCAGAAGAGGGGACAACCGGCCAAGAGCCTGCGCAGCTCGTTCTTCAGCCTCCAGAAATCCCCATCCAGGTATCTGTGCAAGGAGGAGTCGCCCAGTCCTAAGTCCCGGGCGGGCTCTGGCTCCATTGTGCTGCTTCCCCTTGGGCGGCTCGGAAGCTGTGGCAGCGCCCGCAATCGCGGCTCGGGGCGCCTCCACTCCCGGGCTCGCTCGGCCCCTCCTCTCCACCTGCTGACAGCTTCGCGGCTGCAGCCGCCCGAGCCCCACGGCCTCAAGCTGCTCCAGATGCGCCAGCTGCAGCGGGGGCGGCGGCCGCGGCGGGGACTAGGACATCGCCGTATTGCCACCTCTCCCTGGCCCACTCCACGTCACGTGGGTGATAGGCACATTTCCCTCCTCCCTCATTTCTTGGCAGTAAGCTCTCCCATTTCCCCTTGTTCTTCACCTCTCCCGACCCCTTCTTTCACATCAACCTCTCTCCTCTTCCTACCTGTTCTTGCCCCTTTTTCTTTCCCTAGTAGCCTCTTCTCCATTCTTTTCTACTTCTTACTTCGCCCCAACTCTCAGGCTCCCTGCTCCCTCCGCCTATTCATAATCCCCTCCAGGTGAGGGTCTTGGGGAAGGTGCTGACCAAAACAGGTACTCAGTCACCTGGAGAAGCTGGGTACTGAGATATGAATGAAGTCTCTCCTTTACCTTGTGGTTGTGACTCAGGACTGAATGAGATATACATAAAGCTCTTTGGGAACTATACAATATGTGTCAGAGATGATGATCATGATATGGTTGCCAACTACCCTTCCCAGACCATCCTTTCTGTTTTCAGACAAGGAAGAGTTTATGCTGTTCCCTATAAGGAAAAGGATGTGTCCCACTCTCAACAGAACCTCAAGTAAGCTTTGCCTCCCTCCACTGAAATTTCTATTTCATTTGTCCACAATTTTCAATGCAACCTGAGACCACAGAAGAAAAAGGGTGGCAGGTAGCAGGGCTGAGAGTGAAGTCCTTCTTAAAAAAGCTTTGATAGCCCCAGGCTGAGCTTGAGCACCCACAGTTTAGAGTTTTAGGGAAGGAAGCCGAGATAGAAGAGAAAAGGGAAGATTGAACCATTGTGGCTAACAAAGTCTTTTTTGCTGTTTTGGGGGTGTTTGTTTTTTAACTATGCAGGACTCAGAAAATTCAGTTGGTATGAAGGGTGGGAGGTTCATTTTGTTTGTGATAAGTTCCTATTAAAGCAGAGGAAAGATAAACCAAGGCAAGCAAGTGTAGCCCTTCTTTTCTTTACCTTTCTTCCTTCCTGCAGACTTGACCAGTACCCAAACTCTGCCCTGCCTCCAAGGCAGGCCTAAAACTGATCTACTTATCTGATCATGAGGAGAGCAGGGCTGCCTACTTCTTTCTCCCTCATACAACTCACTGACTCTAACTCAGACTGAGCCTTCTCCTAAAGAACTAGCTGGTATCCCTGAAAGCTGCTCCAGCAGAACTTAGTGCTACCTTAATCAGGCATTCCTAGTTGGTGGAGAGGAGAATTTAAAGAAATTTAGAAAGGGATCAAGGCTGTGCCAAGCTAGGAAAGGTCCAAGACTTAGATTACAGTTAATAACTCAAAATGGATTTATTAGATTCTTCTTTACCCAATAAGGAAAGTCAGGTAGGTCTAGGATGTTAGTATCCTGACTCCAAGTCTGATGCTATCATCATAGAACTTTCCTTTTTTTCTAGATTTAAAAGTAAATTTAAATTCCTTTTTCTTTCTGGTTCAGATTTTGTTCCCTTAACTTGCATATGATGTATACACACTGTTCATCTTCAAGGTGGTATCCCAGATTGTGTGGGGGTGTGTTTGAAAAGACCAGCACTGTTTTCATGTTCAACATAATAAAAATTCTCTTATTTGGAACAGACTTGCAGAGGCTGGCCTGCTCTGCCCTTCTGTTTCTTAGACTCATCGTTTCCTCAACGTTTGTTGAAAACAGTTTGACTGTGGCTGCTGCTCACAGGCTGATCTGTCTGCCACTCCTGTTAACTAGCAGTTCCTGGCTACGAAGTGTTTCATCTAATTTAAAGAGTTAAATCAATTCCCTCACTTCTAATCCTATACCCCACCTCCTGAGTCCCCTGCCAGTCTTCCATCCAGATCTCACTGCAGGAGTTTACTTCCTCCTCACCTTTGTCTTTTCAAATCCTTCAGGCCTCAGCTCAGGTGTATCTTCTAGAAGAATCCTTTCCTGATGCCCTAAATTCATAGCACTCTCTCTTTCCTTCTCAAATGATCATATTTTTATCATCTGTTTATATGTTGCATCCTCTACCTCCAGGAGAATGTAGGCTCCTTGAAGGCACTGAGCTAATCACTGGGGATCCAAAGAAAGGCAAAAAACAGTCCTTGCCCCCAAGAAGCTCACAGTCTTAAGTGGAGACAATATGAAACAAATATGTCCAAACAAATTACATAAGAGAGATTGGGAAAGGTATCCTGTAGAAGGTGAGATTTTATATGTTTATTAGGAATGTACATATAGAGCTTATATCAGATTTCACACCATCATGGGGAGGGAGGAGGAGAGAGAGGGGGAGAAAATTTAAAACTCAAAAGCTTTTGGAAGTGATTGTTGAAAATTAAAAATTAATTAATTGAAAAAAAAAGGTGAGATTTTAGTTGGGACCTGAAGGAAGCCAAGAGGCAGAGGTAAGAAGGGAGAGCATTCCAGGCATAGGGGACTAACCAGAGAAAATGCTTGGAACTGGGATTCTTTTTCATGGAATAGCAAAGAGGTCAGTATCACTCAATCAAAGAGTACTGGGGTGGGGGGGGGCCTGTGTCAGGAGGTGAAAGGTGCAAGAAGACTGGAAAGGTGGAGGGTAGGTTATGAAGGGCTTCAGATGCTAAAAAGAGCATTTTGTATTTGATGCTGGAGGTGATAATCACTGGAGTTTCCTGGGTTGAAGGGAAAGGGGGATGGTATGAGTGATATGGTCAGACCTGTACTTTAGGAAGATCACTGACAGCTGGGAGAGCTTAGAATGGACTGGAGTGGGGAAAGACTTGTGGCAGGTAGACAAACCAGAAGCCTTTGGTAATGGTTCAAGAGGGAGGCGATGAGGGCGTACACCAGGTTGATGACAGCTTCAGAGGAGAGAAGGGGGTATATGTGAATAATATCATGAAGGGAATGTAACCTATATCCCAAAGCCCATCAGCATAGGACTCTCTCCTCATTGGTGGAGAGAGATACCCCATACCTGGGTAAAGGGCAGGTGGGAGTTTTTAGAGCAGTAGAGAGGAGAGCTAGAGGCACTGCCGTCTCTGGTCTCAGCACACTCTGACCCGGCTCTACATTTGCTGTGGGTGTTTCTGGCTTTCATACAGAAGTTAGATGATACCAACCCCATTTCAGGTTGCTAAAGGGAGAATGATTCCAGGAAGAAACCGACATGAGAGGAGCTAGCAGACCCCATCATGTCCCTATTCTCAGCTTACTACACTAGAGAGAGACATTGGGGAATTTCCCCTTGGGTGAGACCTGAGACACTCTGTCTCTGTCTTTCTGTCTCTGTTTGTGTCTCTCTGTCTCTCTCTCTTTTTCTTGGTTGATCTGAGTTACTTTGCCCCCAGTGGGAGACCTCCTTCACTCTGTATTGTCTGGTATATGTTCTCTTATGTATATTTTCTCTGACTTCTGTTTGGCTGTCAATTTAGATAAATTGGTTTCTTTGCTATTTGTTATGTGTATGTTCATGGTGAAACTGATATTTGGTGGGAAGGGATCAAATCTTGGCTATAGAACTTGAGGTCCCTCCTTTCATCATTAATAAAGAGTGATCAGAAGTTTAGCTCGAACCTGAAAACCACATTCCCTAGACAAACAATATTTAAGAGAGCAGATATGATTCTAGCCTTCTACCCCTTCTCTCTGAAGGGAGAAGACTGACCAAACTTCTGACCCCAACCTCCTGATTCTCCTTCTGGCAAAAATTAAAGTCTCCTTTGGAGAACACTGACAGGAGAAGAGGCTAGAGATGTCTATTCTGCCTCCCTTAGAATCACATACATGACGCCCCACTTGGGGTAATAGCAAGAGACTGGATGTGGGAGGAGTGAGAGAGAGGAACTAATACTGATGCCTAAATTGCTTGGGTACTGGAAGGATGGTGGTACCCTCAACAGTAACAGGAAGATTTGGAAGGGAAGAGGGTTTCGGGAGGGAAATAATGAGTTCCATTTTGGACATGTTTAATTTAAGATATCTACTGAACATCCAGTTCAAGATGTCTGAAAGGCAGTTGGAGATGCAAGACTGAAGGTCAGAAGAGAGGTTAGGACTGGAAGAGGAAATTTGACCATAGAGTACAATGCCTGGGGCTTAATGACTATTGAATTGAATTGAATTGAATTGAGTTGTACTTGAATGAAAGAATAACAATAATCAAAGCATTTTACAAATATTATCTCATTTTTATCCTCACAACAACTCTGGGAGATAGGCACTATTACAATACTCATTTTACAGATGATGAAACTAAGGCAGACAGAGGTTACACAGCTAATATGTGAGATAGAATTTGAACTTAGATCTTCCTGACTCCAGGCCCAGCCCTGTATCCATCATATTATCTAGGCACCTGCTCTGAATAAGTGAATAAGCTCTTAATATGTGCAAGGACTAGGCTAAGCACGAGGGATGCAAATAGAAAAGCAAGACTGTACCTGCTCACAAGGTATGCACATTCTAATAAGGATGATATCATAGGAGATTTCAGCTACAAGTCAAATGGAATGGTTCCATGGTTCTTAGTGTACAGTGGCAAAGCAGGTGCTAATGAATCTTCTTTAATGTTGTTTCCACTGACAAAGTCATATCTGTTTTTGTTTTTAAACCATTTAGCAGTGCCAAGGGCTCTGGTATCAGGGCTGAAGCACCTGCAGGAGCAATTGCCAGGTTGTATCTCCGTGGGGGTGCTTCCCAGGAGGACAGCCACTAGTAGGTTTCTGGGTCACTGTTGATTACATCTGCTTGTCTTTTAATGCCAAATATAGCCTTTAGAAGATGCCAATGAGGATTCTCAAGACAGTGAATAGGAGCAGAACAACCCTGACCTCTCATAACTACTTGAGCAAAGATGAACAGAAAGCACCAAACCAAGTAATGGCAGAGAAATCCAAGGGCATACAGAAAGTGTACTTTTTAAGCCCAGGTCTACACAAAGAAGCCTGCAAACACCAGGGAAAGAGTATAGTCACAAAAGTTTAGGAGCCAGGAGCTCAGTGCGTGGAAGCCTTCCAGTTCGTGGACCAGGATCTAGAGAGTAATGACCAGCTTCTACAACT